TTCGGTCAAAGGTACCTGCGGGGTCGGGTAGGGGGCGTCTCGGGACCACCCCTGCCGCCGTAGTGGCCCGCGTCCGTTATCTCATCCGCCCGGCCCTTCTTGCGCCCGAACACTTGGCCTGGGCGACGTCGCGAGCTTTTGGACGCACCCGTATGTCTGCACTTCTTTCTCAGAGCATTTGCCATCCGACGCTTTTGTGCTCAAAGTTTTCCTGCTGCCAACCCAGAGCCTACACTGCGCTAGTGGTCTGAGGGTGGGGGGCGTCTCAGGGTCGCCCCTGCCGCCGCGGCGGCCCGCGTCCGTTATCTCATCCGCCTGGCCCGTCTGGTCCCAAAACAGTTGGCCAGGGCGACGTCGCGAGCTAGACGTATCCATGTATGTGCGTGTACGTGAAACATCCCCAGGACGAAAGTTTTTTTCCTCTTGGGCCTTTAACGACGGTGTGAAGTCTGGAGCAGACCCGTATGAGATAACCGCCGTCGGATCTCATGAAGCTCGCGCGGATCCAAATGTGGTTTTGGCGTTTGTTTCGGTGGATCCGATTTCCGTCCGTGCGGATCCGATTTCGGATTCGCTGGATCCGTGTCCGGTCTTATTTTTTACGGCGGATCCGATTTCTACCCTGTTTGGTGTGAAGTCTGGAGCAGACCCGTATGAGATAACCGCCGTCGGATCTCATGAAGCTCGCGCGGATCCAAATGTGGTTTTGGTGTTTGTTTCGGTGGATCCGATTTCCGTCCGCACGGATCCGATTTCGGATATCCGTATTTTTTACGGCGGATCCGATTTCTAAAAATTAAACCAGGGAGCCGGAAGAAATCGGATCCGCGGACCCCGCAAACCGCCCGTGTTAAGATTCTATGGGGGATGGGGGGTTCGGTCATCAATTTTCCACGATGGGCCCTGCGTCGTCTCGCGCACTCCCATCAACTCCCCGCGCGAGCGGGCCCCATTCAACATGAATACATACATACATCCCCCCCCAGTTGCTGCAAACAGCTCGTCTGGTCGCCGTCCGTTCGGCGGCGCCGACGTTGTCTCGCGAACTCCTCATGGCCATTTTCACCTCAAGAGGAAAATCTTTCGTCCTGCGTAAGTGCGTTTCGGCCCTGCGTCTCCTCACCCAACGGATTGCCTGTGAGATGTGGTGTCGGCTGTGTGGTAGCCAACAACGGATTGCGTGTGAGATGTGGTGTGTCGGCTATGTGGTAACCAACGAGTCCGAAGGCCAAAACGCTCATGCGTTTCGGCCCTGCGTCTCCTCACCCAACGGATTGCCTGTGAGATGTGGTGTCGGCTGTGTGGTAACCAACGGATTGCGTGTGAGATGTGGTGTGTCGGCTATGTGGTAACCAACGAGTCCGAAGGCCAAAACGCTTTCGGCCCTGCGTCTCCTCACCCAACGGATTGCCTGTGAGATGTGGTGTCGGCTGTGTGGTAACCAACAACGGATTGCGTGTGAGATGTGGTGTGTCGGCTATGTGGTATGCAACGAGTCCGAAGGCCAAAACGCTGTGCGTTTCGGCCCTGCGTCTCCTCACCCAACGGATTGCCTGTGAGATGTGGTGTCGGCTGTGTGGTAACCAACAACGGATTGCGTGTGAGATGTGGTGTGTCGGCTATGTGGTAACCAACGAGTCCGAAGGCCAAAACGCTCATGCGTTTCGGCCCTGCGTCTCCTCACCCAACGGATTGCCTGTGAGATGTGGTGTCGGCTGTGTGGTAACCAACAACGGATTGCGTGTGAGATGTGGTGTGTCGGCTATGTGGTAACCAACGAGTCCGAAGGCCAAAACGCTCATCCCCAGGACGATTTTTTTTTCCTCTTGGGCCCGGAACGACGGTGTGAAGTCTGGAGCAGACCCGTATGAGATAACCGCCGTCGGATCTCATGAAGCTCGCGCGGATCCAAATGTGGTTTGGTGTTTGTTTCGGTGGATCCGATTTCCGTCCGTACGGATCCGATTTCGGATTCGCTGGATCCGTGTCCGGTCTTATTTTTTACGGCGGATCCGATTTCTACCCTGTTGTAAATTTATAGTATTAAATTAAACCAGGGAGCCGGAAGAAATCGGATCCGCGGACCCCGCAAACCGCCCGTGTTAAGATTCTATGGGGGATGGGGGGTTCGGTCATCAATTTTCCACGATGGGCCCTGCGTCGTCTCGCGCACTCCCATCAACTCCCCGCGCGAGCGGGCCCCATTCAACATGAATGCATACATACATCCCCCCCAGTTGCTGCAAACAGCTCGTCTGGTCGCCGTCCGTTCGGCGGCGCCGACGTTGTCTCGCGAACTCCTCATGGCCATTTTTACCTCAAGAGGAAAATATTTCGTCCTGCGTAAGTATATATATATACATACACATACATACATACATACATACATACACACGTATACGTAGCACCCCGCAGTTGCGGAGAAGAGCGAGGACGCGGGCGCGGCGTGGGCCGCAGGTGGGTCGCGAGGAGGGGCGCCGGATAGGTCGCGGGCGGGTCGCCGGCAGATCGCGGGTGAGCACGACGACGACAACAATGCAACAACGCAACGACAGTCCGCGCGGCGGAACCCCGCTTAAGCCACGCGCCCAGGGACATTGATTGAGCGCTCGGCCCCTTCACTCCGCTACACCTATGTATGTGAATGTGAGCCAGCGTGGGCCTGGAACAGTGTGTTTCTACCAGGTATACGTTGTGCGCGCTATGCGGTGCAATCCACGTGGTGCAATTTATGTTGTGCAAGCTATGTTGTGCAATCTACGTGGCGCAGCTCGCCCTGCCGAAGTTGAAGTTGTCAACTCCACTGCTCGCGCAAACATCCACCCGCCCACCCGCAACTTGGTTTGCAAAACCCATGCGACAGCGATTGCGATGAGTGCTTGGCGTTGGCTGGTGCGTCTCGGAGGCCGCGCTAGCCCGCGCATGCTCGCGCGTGCGCAGCGACCAGCTGGTGCGGCGCCTCCAGCCCGGCCGCGGTGGCGCTGACCGCTGGGCACTTCCAGCGGGCACTTCACTGCGAGCCAGTGACGTGGGCGAGCGCGGTATCATGGCGACGCCGACAACGGTAGACGCAATGATGCGAGTAACGATGATGGTGGCGATGGTGGCGATGACGACGGCAGGGCCAATGACGGTGCCGATGTTGATCACGCCCGCCGGTAATGATGACGATGTTTTCGCGTCGGCGATGAAAGTTTTGGAAGGAGTTCGACATGCGCGTGGCCGACGCTCGCGAGCGGCCCGCGTGGCATAATTTCACATGGGCCGTGCTCCCCAGCACGCACGCAAGGGCGCCCAGATGAATTTGACATTCGGCGCGAAAGGCCCGCATGGTATAATGATGAAATACCGATGGTTTTCGTAAGGACACGCCAGAGAGCGCGCGCACATGCATTCTTTGTAACTGGTGTTGCAACGCCAAGTGGTTTTATTTGTTTCCGGGCGTTTTTCGGAGGAAGAAAAGAAAAATGCCAAGCAATCTGGTTTTGTTTATAAGCTTTTCGGGACACTCGATGTTGCGATCGTTGCGACATTTGTTTGGCCGTCCAAGCATGTAGGCATGCGCGCCAGACGCCGCGCGCGTGTGCACTTCGTTTTATTTGTTGCAAGGAGTTGTTTGGAAGTATATGGATATGTATGCACGCGTGCGCGCATGTTTTCCAGAAAATAATAGGGGGTAGCCGATATCGGTTTCATATTTAGGATGGACGATGGGGCAAAACCGTTTGCACATTGCAATATGAAGAAAGGGGTACTGTTAAGTCTGGGGGGTATATCCTAACTACGTAGTGCAACCTACGTTACGAACCTATGTGGTGCAACCAACGTGGTGCTATGTTTGTGGTACAAATTATGTGGTGCCATCTTTGCGGCGCAATATGTGTGGTGATATAGGTTGTGCATTCTACGTTGTGCTAGCTATGTTTTAAACTATATGTGGTCCATGTGGTGCAGTACATGTTGTGTATTCTATGTGGTGCGACCCATGCGGTGCAATGCATATGGCGCAATCTGCGTTGCGCACTCTACGTGGTGCAATCTATGTTGTACAATCTGGGCGGCGACGGGGCGGCGACGGGGTGGCCACTGCGAGCACGGAGCCGCCAGACCGACACCCAGGCCCAGACGACGGTTGGCGACGGGGACGGTATGGCCACTGCGAGCACGGAGCCGCCAGACCGACACCCAGGCCCAGACGACGGGCGGCGACGGGGCGGCGAAGGGGCGGCGACTGCGAGCACAGAACCGCCAGATCACCCCCCAGGCCCAGACGACGGGGCGTCGACGGCGAGCACGGAGCCGCCAGACCGACACCCCGATACGGAAGTACAAATTCTAAGTGCAAGCGCTGTTTGGTGAATATATAAAAAGGTGATTGGTTCCAACAGATGTGCGGACGCAGGGCAAGGCGTTTTCGAAGCGAGGTTCTTGCTATAGCGCCGTGCGCACTCGACCTTGAGGACGTATGCGCATCAGAAGCGGCGGCCAGGCCTGCTAGCGTCAGGCACTTCTCATTGTCTGCGATGCCACGGCGGCAGCGCGGGTACGGGCGTTCAAGGCTGAAGAGCCACCTTCGGATCCCCCGACAGCGATCGTTCAAGACTGCATGGCCCGCGCGCTGACCGAGGCCAGAGCCCACGCCGATACGGCAGGAGCCCGTCGCGGCTGCCTGGCGAGCCTCCGCAGACGGTTGCTTGTGGATCCTCTGGGTTTATCCAGTCTTGGAGGCCTCTCGGCACGTCCCGACGGCTTCTTTGAACTATCTTCGGCCGTCTGGGGGCTCCCTTGGCGCTCTCTTTGGCCGTCTTGAACGCCCCACGAGGGCTCCTGGATCCAGGAGCCCTCCTGGGAGGCCCTCCAGCTGGATGCTGGATCCTAGATCCTCCTGGATCCAGGAGCCCTCGTGGGAGGCCCTCCTGGATCTAGGATCCTGGACGCCTCACAAGGACCTCCAGCCCTCCCCTCGGGACTTTCGGCCAGCCGGACCCCACCTCGGACCCATGGCCGGCGCAGTGGTGCGGAGCCTCGGCTGCGCTCTCCTGGCCGCTCGCCCTGCCTGGGGCCTGCTCCTCGGCGGCCGCGGCCACGACGCGGCCTCCGAGACTGCCGCGGCGGAGTCCGGCCTGGAGCTCAAGCAGCGGCGAAGCGTCCCAGCCTGCCTGTAGGCCCGCCAAAAGAATGGTTTCTGTGGTTTGCTCGAGATGTTCTCAGAACTTTTCTGGCTGAGAGCGTCTTCGTTGAACACGTCGGACTCAGGTCATAGGAACACTGCCTTGTTCTTAGAGCATTCTCATGTCCTGAGAGAGTTTCGTGGTAGGCCTACAGGAATGCTGGGACGGTCGGCCCCTGCTCAAGGACCTGGACGACATGATGAAGATCGCCCCCCCGTCCTTCCGGGACCGGCCCGTGCTCGTGCCCCCCCCCGACCGGCGGGAGGCTCAGCTGCCCTGATACGCCCAGGTTGGAGCGCAACCCGTGCTGTGTCCAGGACGTCCGCGTCAACACGCTGCGTGTTGGCTCGGCACGTGCTGCGCCACGTCCTGGCGCGCGTGTCTGCCAGACCCACGTTTCCAGTCTGCGTGTCGAGTTTCGTGTCCACGCGCTGCGGGCTGCGCGCTGCGTATCGGGGCAGCTCAGGCGGGAGGGCTTCCGCCGTGGGCTCGCGCCTCGCCCCGCTGCCAGCAGCCTCATCGAGCGCAGAACTGTGGTCGAGCGTGGGGCGGGCGCTGGCACGGGCTCGGGCGCCGACTCCAGCGCGGGCGTGGCGTCGCAGGGCCTGGAGCCGCGGTACCAGCCCGCGCAGGCGTTCCAGCCCGCCGCGGACTTCCAGGACATGGCGGCGGCCGCGGTGGAGACGAGCCACGAGCTCCCCTGGGGCGTCGGTTCGCCCAGGACCGGCGACAACGTCGCGGTCAACGAGTACTCGTCGATGCCCGCTGTGGACGTGCCCAAGTGGGGAGAGTACAGCCTGGAGCCCAGAAGAACCTTTGTCGGGCGGTTCAAGGACAGGGATAGATCGTTTCGGAGCGTTCCAGAACGCTCTCGGCGCGTGCCACAGCGCTCCGAAACGGCCGTGGCGCCCGATACATTCTCTGGAACCGACGGATCTCAGAGATCTTCATTTATCCCGGTCCGATTTTGTCCCTGTCTTGGCTTCGTCTTACCTTGCGCCTCAGCCCGGCGTCGTCCAGACAAATGCTCGCGCTCGATGGGTGCCTGTCCCCCTCTTCGGCGTGGGTCCCTCTCACGGGCCGACCTGGGGCCCGAATAATTGCGTCTAGAAGTGAGAGTCGAGAGCTCTGGCTTCGATTCGTTTCACGACGCCGAGGCAATCTCCCGACGCCAGCCAGACGTACGTTTTTTTTTTGTTGTATCCTCCTGCGCGTAGCGGTCGTTACCAGAGCCACGCCCCCCCCCCAGGGTGACAGCAACAATCGTACGTGGGGGGGGCTGCCCGACATGCTGGCGCTCTCACGCATGCTATGGCAGTCGCAGGTCGACGTGCCCCACCCCGCCCAAGCGTGACCGTTACCTGGAGCCCCGATTTTGTGGGCGAATACATACTAGTATCTGCTTCTGTGGCCTACCGGGCCAGGCCCCTGGGCCACGACTCCCCGCGGACACGCGGCGTGTTTTCGCGGATGCCCCACGCGGAACGCATCCGTGCGACCGCGCATCCGCGGGATCGCGCCTTGGAATCCAGACCCCGAGGGCGTGTATATGGATACGTTCGTGGCCCCCCCCCAGGTAGCTCCAGCTGGCCTCAACAGGCCGCCCGAGTAGTCCCAACTGGCCTCAACGGGCCTCCCGAGTAGTCCGGCGCGGTCTCTCAAACCTGGGGCGCGGAGCGCTCTAGGGGCGCCACCGGAGGCGGCGCGTTGAGAGCGCCCTGGACCACTCAGGTGGCCTGTTGAGGTCAACTGGGACTACTCTTGGAGCCCGTGGAGGCCAGCCGGGACTACCTGAGGGGGGCTGTCTGTGCGCAACCCGAAGCATTACCAGACGTCCGCCGCTCGTGACAGACCTCCCCCCCTCGCGGGTAACGACCGCTGCTGGAAACAATGGAAAAACAACATCCGTTCGGGCTGGGAGCAGGGGACGAGCACCACACCGCCCGCTGGGCCACGGCTCCTGGCCCCTCGGCGGGGAGAGGCCGCCGGGCCAGGCCGGGGAGTTTGCGCTGCATCTTCGGGGGGCCCTGCCGTTGTCGGGGGGGCTTTGCCTGTCGGGAGCTTGCGCTGCGTCTTGGAGCCGGCTTTGGGTCCGAGGTGGCCCAGCGCTGGTTCCGGCGAGCAGGAGGGGGGGGCAGGTTCGAGGTGGTGTGTTCGAGGGTTTTCTTCCCCAGTTCGGCCTCGGGGGCCCGTTCTCGGGCCCTGGAACCTGGGACCTTCAAAAACGGACCCGTCGTGAAAAAGTGCACCCGATGGATCCTGGGAGGGGTCCCAGGACCGATCCTGAGCGGATCCGGCCCCACCCCCCCTCCTGACAGGTTTCTCGGGCCCCAGCCAATTCAGACCCCCTGGCCGCCTCCACTACGCTGCATCTACGCTTGCTGGATGCAGCTGCTGTCGACTTCTACAGCCAAGACGCTGAAATAAGGAACAGGGCTCGATGTTCCTTGGGTCCTTCGATGGCTCTTCCTCTAGCGCTCCTCGTCCACGCAGCCGCTTTTGGGGCAAAGATGGGCTTCGTTCCTCATCGCGAAGGCCTCAAGGTAGGGACCTCCCCCAGAACCCCCGCTGGCGACCCCCCCCCCCGGGACCCGCCAGGACCCCGGGCGGGCGGTGTTCTGACCTGGGAGGCCTCCCAATGGGAAGGGGCTTCACTTTCGACTCCAATGTACGTTCCTGTCCTTGTTTCTCAATTTCCTTGGGAATGGCGACGACGACGACGAAAATGGAAAAGCGTCTCGCACACGCCGAAGGGCCGGCGGTTGTAGCGTTTGTCATTTCAGAAGGACTGTGTTCTACCGCTGCTGGCGGATCCCGGAGAGGGGTCACTGGAGGTTCCCAACCCGTCCCCCCCCTTCCAAAAGCGGGGGGGGTCACTACCAGTTCGAACCGCCCTCTTCCCCCCCCGTCCATCATGAAAAGGGGGGAGTCACTACCAGTTCGAACCTCCCCCCCTCGCCGCCGGCAAACGATTCCAGCTCTTCGGGACAGTGGAACAGTGGCTTGGGGGCGCTGGGACAGTGGTGAGGACGGTGGTGGTGGGGACAGTGGTGTGGGGACAGTGGGACAGTGGTGGGGACAGTGGGACAGTGGTGGGGATGGTGGTGGTGGGGACAGTGGTGAGGGGACAGCGGGACAGTGGTGGGGACAATGGGGACACTGGGACAGTAGTGGGGACGGTATTGGAGGGGACAGTGGTGAAGGCGGTGGTGAGGACGGTGGTGGGACAATGGGACAGTGGGGAGAGTGGTGGGGACAGTGGGGGCATTAGGACAGTGGTGGGGACAGTGTGGACAGTGGGACAGCACAGTTGGACAGCGGCGGGGACAGTGGGGACTGGGACAGTGGTGGGAACAGTGGGGACAGTGGGGACAGTGGTGGGGGCAGTGGGGACAATGGGGAGAGTGGGACCGTGGTGGGACAATGGTGGGGAGAGTGGGGACAGGGAGACATTGGCCGGGGCACTGGTGGGGACAGCGGGGACAATGGTGGGAACAGTAGGGACAGTGGGACAGTGGTGGGGACAGTGGGACAGTGGTGGGGGCGGTGGTGGTGGGGACAGTGGTGTGGGGACAGCGGGACAGTGGTGGGGACAGTGGGGACAGTGGGACAGTGGTGGATGGTGGTGGGGACAGTGGTGAGAGCGGTGGTGAGGATGGTGGTGGGACAATGGGACAGGGGTACAGTGGGGACAGTGGTGGGGACAGTTGGGACAGTGGTGGGAACAGTGGGACAGCTCACTGGGACAGCGGCGGGGACAGTGGGACAGTGGGACGGTGGGGACAGTGGGGACACTGGGACAGTGGTGGGGACCGTGGGGAAAGTGGGGAGAGTGGGACCGTGGTGGGAACAGTGGCGGGGACAGTGGGGACAGTGCGACAGTGGTGGGGGCACTGGTGGGGACAGCGGGGACGGTGGTGGGAAATGTGGGGAGAGTGGTGGTGGGGACGGTGGTGCTGGGGACAGCGGTGGGGGATGTGGTGCGGACGGTGGTGGGGACCCAGGAGTCGTTTGCCGGCGGTGAAGGGGGCGGGGGGGGGGGTCGAACCGGCAGTGACACCCCGGTTTTCTGGAGGGGGGGGGGTTCGAACTGGTAGTGACCCTCCCTCGGTCTTCGGGAGGTGGGGGGGGAAGGGTTGGGGGGGGGTTGCCGCGGGAAGGGGGGGAGGGGAGGGGGGGGGGTCCAACAGGGGGAGGATTTTCGAAGGGGGGGGGGACCCCCGAGTTCCGGAGGGAAAGGAGGGGGAATTTTCCATGGTAAAGCGGCGGTAGATCACGCTCTCTCTCATAATCGTTTCAGAGACCCGACTGTAGTGCAAGTTCGTTCTGTCGCGTGCGCGGAGGGCGCCAACCCCCCTTCTGCTAATTATCCCCCCCCCTTCCGTCCGCCCAGAGCTTGGGGTGGGCCCGGTGGGTAATTAGCAGCAGCACCACCCTGCGAGCGGGACCCTACGGGACTGACGCTGTCTGCTGCAACACATCCCGCCAGGCGAAGGCAGCCATTTTCGAATGCAATTAGGACTCCTGCGATGGAACCTCGCCAGTCCTCAGGCCTGTAGTCTCCTCTTTGCCCGACGCGGGTTCGGTGCGGATTCGACGAGGACTTGGCGTCGGCTCGACGAGGGTTCGACATGATTCGACACGTTCGACACAGGCGCGACGCTGATTGGCTCGACGCGGATTCGACGCCGATATAGCGGCGCGACGGGACAGACCAAAGGTCCCCCGAAGGTGTAGCATGGGCAGCCGGAGTGCCACCGGGACGGGGGTTGGGCGAGCAGATGGCCAGGTTCGGGGGTTCTTTGTGGGATGGTTTTCCCAAGATGGGGTCAGGGAACGAACCTAGCTGGATGTGCACATTTCCTTCTTCCAAGGGGCGTTTAGAGCGACATTCCCTCTAACCCCAGCTCTGCCCCTACCCCACCTCTGCCCCTACCCCACCTCTACGCCCCCCCGAGTGGTGGGGCCTGGGGTGGGTGGGGTGCGGAGTTGCCTCCTGCAGGAGCAGGGCGACACCCTCACGTCCTTCAGCAGCGCCAAGCAGGACGTAAAGCTCCTCACCCAGGTGTTAATGAATGTCACGAACGGCTTCTATCTGGACACCAACGCCATGGACGGTGAGGCAAACAGCAACACGCTCCTTCTCGAGCTGCTCGGCTGGCGTGGGCTGTGCATCGAACCGCGCACGTACTGGTACATGGAACTGTGGTCCAAGTTTCGTAAGGCATGGCTGTTCCTCGGTGCCCTCTCCCCTCACGAGAACGCGACGAAGCTTGGCTTTAACTATGACGGCGAGGTCGACGAGCTGAGCGGTCACAAGATTCACGCGTATCCCTTGAAGACCTTCTTGCAAGAGATGGGGGGGCGCAAGACGATCGATTTCTGGAACCTGCGCAGCGGGGGGTACGAGGCCGAGATCCTGAACGAGACGCTGTTCCACTCGGGAAGCTTCATCGAGTTCGGCGTGATCCTCGTCACCTTCGATGGCCGCCGCTCTGCGCGAGGTTCCCAGGACTACGTACAGGCACGCTCCAGGGACGAGACCGAGGGGCTCATATTCGACCTGCTCCACAATGCCAGTTTCAAGTTCATCGGCGGTCTGGACCCCTACTGGATCAATACCGTCGAGCCGCGTTACGGCTTCAAGGACGCCGTCTTCGTCAACCCCACGTATTTCGTGTCACGCAACATTCCGCTGCCAACTTCGGTCAAGGGCCCACCCCCTCCGACACTCCCTGGATTCAGCCCCAGCCGTCCATGGGCTGGCTTTAGCTCGTGGGAGGAAGGCTTCACCCACAGCGAGGAGGTCAATCTCATTGGCAAGTATGTCAAAGCGAGCAGGCAGGACGCCTCACTGATAGAGCCTGTACCGAAAGCGAATCGCGTCTCGAACACCCTTACGATCAGCTAGATATGAGCAGGTACGTTGCTGTAGGTGGAGCCACGAGTAATGCTGGAATTGAGCCTCAGTTCTCAGACCACGATTAGACGTGTCTGTTCGATCTGTGGTGGGCTGCCTAACCGCAGTGCATTTGCAGCCGCAGGTTGGTTTTCCTTACCACTTGTGCTGTCCTCGCTGGGCTGTGCCTCTGTGAGCCTAGGTGTTTGGTGAGGGCGTGGGCAGTTGGTTGGACTGCTCAGCCTTGCGTTGGCGGATCATGCGTTGCTGTACTCATCTGGACGCACAAGCTCAGATCCGCCTTGCCTTCGGAAGGTTCCGAGGAGTGCAAACAAACAGATCGCCGACGGAAGGGCCAAACCCCATGCGGCTGCACTCCGAGCAGGGACGTTGGATTCGTGACGCAGACGGACTGGGCCAGGTACAACCGGCCCAGGGGTGAGCAGGTTGGGGGGGTGAGCCAGGAGGGTTCCAAAGGGGGGTTCTTGGGGAAGGGGTTTGCCAGAGAGCCCCCCAGGGGCCTCGGCACCTCGTCAAAATAGGGGGTGCGGAGCCCCTGGGGGACCCCTCCTGGAAAGCCCCCTCCCCCCCAAACCCCCTTTGGAGCCCTCCGGTGAGCCATCCGGGGCGGGCCGGCCGACCGAGCTGCGTGGGGGGCGCGGGGCAGGGCCGGGTGGAGCGGCCCCGCAGGCCGGGTGGCTCACGGCAGCTCTGGTTCGGGGCTCAAGAGACGGGGGTCGGTGCAGGCGGGGGTCAGCCAGAGCGCCCGATTTTGCAGGATCCTGCAGGGCCCGGGTCGCATGGACCCGGGTCTGGGTGCAGGATTTTGCAGGATCCTGCAGGATCCTTCGCATTGACCCGGGTTTGGGTGCAGGATCTGGCTGGAGCTTGCAGGACCCTGCAGGCCTGACTGACCCTATGGTCTGGATTGACCCGGGTCAGAAGATCCCCGATTGGTCATCCTGGGAATCGAGACTTCGCTCGACTTCTGAGACGGGGCAATGCTAAGCCTTAGATGGCACGCTGGGTACTGAAAAACTTTAAGTAGCGCACAAACGACCTCATGCTCGCCGTCCTGCCTGAGGAGGCCGGGTGGGCTGGGTGACACTTTTTTTCCCACCAAGCCACCCCAACCCAACACGAAGGTCCCAAGTTGCCCTCCATTCCCAAGTTGCCGCCATTGCCCTCCATTCCCACGAATGTAGCCCGTACGCATCCCAACCCGAAATTTAGGACTTCGGATTGGGTTGGGGTGGTCTGGTAGGTAGTCAGGCAAGGACCGGTTGAAACATATTCGGGCGAACCAAGCTGGGTGACATATCGACACGGACGAGATGGGTACGGAAAGATTGTGGGCAAATTCCGACAGCAGCTCTTGTCAATGATGAACAATAGTTCGCTGTCGGTACGCGGGGGTTGTCCATTTGAGACATACGGCCGATTGCCCAACAGCGGCCGCTGTCGGTTTTGGACAGCGTTTGTTTTCCGCTTTTTTCCCGTACCCATTTCGGGCGTCCAAGAATAGACCAGTTGGACCAAGCTTAGAGGTAAGATCGACCAGGTGTAACGGACCAGGCGAACCAGACAGGGTGAGACAGACAGGGGTGAAAGCTACAGGGGTGAAACAGACGATTGTCCTGCCTCTTGGGGGTCTCTTCGGTGTGTTCGGGGCCTGTTGCTGTCTCGGAGGCCGTCTTGGCACAAGAGGGGTCGGCTCCTTCAGGTTGCCCCTGCCAGGGCTGGAGATTGTGTAATTTGGGGGGGGGGGTGGGACCGTCACGCTGCGAATCCCGAGAGCACCCAGAAGTGCACAGGAGCGCCGAAGAGCGCTCACGGGTGGAGGGTGTGGGGGATTTGTAGAGCAACTTGATGCCAATTCCTGAAGTGCCAGGCGGCACGGTGGTGATGATGCTTCTGGAATGAGATGTACTGTTGGTGCCGTGCCCCATGGCATCGTGCTCGTAATCTCGGAAGGCGTGCCACGGCGGCAGATACTCCACGCCTGTCCGTTTTGCGGCAGATCAAATCCATTAGGCCGAGCCTCGCTCTGGGGCCCACATCCGTGAGTGCCCCCTTCCCCCCCTGAAATTTAGTTTGCATGAGCGGGACGCTGGAGGCCAGAGGGAATCTGAGCAGGGCCATGGCCGAACGGGTTTGTCACGCGGGACGTCGTGGTCTTCAGCTCAATGGTCACGCTGGTCTCGCATCCGATCGCTTGCCACGACCGTGGTCTTCAGCTCAATGGTCTTGGCAGCCCCGTCGATCTGGAGGAGTATGATGCGCGCTTCCCGTGGGATCTCGGCGCCGAATGGGGGGGCGATTCGCTCCTTCTTGCGGTCCGCGTGGGTCGCTGCCGTCTGTCGGGATCGGCTCCGCTCCGGGGACCTCGTCGCCACAGACCCCCACGACGGCTGCCTCCCCAGCCGCCCGTGGTGAGCTCGACACTGCAGGTGCCGTCGCTCGGGATGAGAGCACGCGTGTGGCTGCCACCCACAGGATCCTCGCCGACGCAGGCCGCGTTGCACTGGAGGCTGAGCGCGTCCTCGCAGCCCACGGGGGGGCCACGCCGCGGGGCACGGGCATCAGAGGGCCTCGGCTCTCCGCTCCTGAGGAGAGCACGCCGCTGGCCAGTCCACGACTGTCCGGGCAGCTGCTGTGCACCTCCCGGCTGCCCTGAGGGCGCTCCTCCCCCGCGGGAGGCGCCTCACGGCAGGGTGTCGCCTTCCTCGGCGAGGCCGCCCGTGGCACGGGTCCGCCGTCCGCGCAGGCGGGCATCCATGGTGGGCCAAGGCCTCGGTGCCGCACAACTCTGCCGCGCGCACCGAGCTCGTGGTGGGGCGCAGCGGCCGGTGCGCGGGAGCGGCGCCGCAGCGTGGGCCAGAACTTGGGCAGACTTGGGCTGCGGCTGCGCAGCTCGTGTTGCCGCCTCCGTGTGCTCCCGCAGTCGGGCCTGATTCATTCAGCATCGTTTAACCGACCCCCATCCCCATCCCCATCCCCATCGAGACCCCCACCAAATTATCCCCCCAGTTGGGGATACACCCCTCGAAACCCGAAGGGAACGGCCTGTGTCCCCATCTGGGGGGGTAAGTCGGCCAGTGGGGCCCAGGCCATGCCGCTGGGGATAGTGATCGGACAAACGACGCTCATTCATATCAGGCACCAGTTCGGGGCCAGGAACATGTCCACTTTACGATGTTACGTTTGTCCAACACTTCGTGGCAAATGGCGGCCAAGCATACAGAGCCTCGCTGTGTGCTCCTTCAGCACGGCACGGGGTCATCGACGGCGCCCGCCGCGTAGGGAGCTGCCACCGCGCGCCTGCGCAGGCCGCGATAGTGCTTGAGATGGCGACGAGGATGCCGAGGAGAGGGACGAAGAGTAGGAGTGCAATTGGGATGGATGGACGGGCGGACGGATGGATGGATGGACGGATGGATGGTGCAGAACCGGGGAGCCTCCAGGACCCTGCTCTCCCAGCTCCGCAGCGGGGGCTGGCGGCGGACCCCGACAGTGGTCGAGAGGAAGGCACCTTTTGCTCTCCTAGCTTCCACACCGGAAGCCACAGTGTCTCAAGCCAGCTCGAGCCGTGCCGTCAGCATCAAACGAGAGAGAGGGGTAGAGGGTAGAGAGAGAGAGTACAAGGGGGAAAAGAGGGAACAACAGTTTACAACGGGGGAGCAGGGAAGAATCCAATTAGAGCCGTATTCTTACGATGGATGGATGGATGGATGGATGGATGGACAAATGGATGGACTGATGGATGGACGATGATGGTGATGGTGATGGTGATGGATGGTGATGGTGATGGTGATGGTGATGGTGATGGTGATGCAAATTTTGCAGCTGGTGATGATGCTGTTGCTGCTGTTGATGATGAAGGCGATGATGATGCTGATGGTGATGACGATGATGATGCTGATGATGATTCATGCTGATGGTGGTGATGATGATACTGTTGATGATGATAATGCTGCCGATGATGGTGATGGTGATGACGATGAGGATGATGATGACAATGATGATGATGCTGATGGTGACGACGGCAATGATGATGATGATGATGATGATGATGATGATGATGATCATGATGATGATGATGATGATGATGATGATGATGATGATGATGATGATGTTGCTGATGATGATGATGAGCATGAGGATGAGGATGAGGATGATGATGATGATGAGGCTGATGGTGACGATGATGCTGACTATGATGATGATTGTGATGGTGATGGTGATGGTGGTCATGATGATGATTGTGCTGGTGGTTATGCTGCTGGTGTTGGTGATGATGGTGATGCTGCTGATAATGATGATGCTGATGATGATGATGCTGATACTGATGATGATGCTGATGATGATGACGATGACAATGACGATGATGGTGATGCTGATGCTGATGATGATGGTGCTGATGATGTTGCTGATGCTGCTGCTGATGATGACGATGATGATGCTGATGATGATGCTGATAATGATGACGATGATGATGATGGGTGCCAGAATGGAAGGACATCGGATGAGGTAAACCTTGCGCCCGTTTCGTTTCTCCCGCCTCGACCTCCCTCACCTCCCATGTCTGCTTTTAGACTGTGCACCAATTTTCGGGCGAGTCGAAATATTTTCCCAGGACGTACTGCTTTCGATAGTTGAGTTTCGAGCGCCCGAGTCTCACAACAGGCTAGAGCGTGGCTAGGGAATAGAGTAATATGTGATCGTCCCCTGTATTGATCCCCTCGGCTTCTCCACACGTCGGAGGTCGTGGGTCTGAGACTGGGACCCCCTCGGGCCCGTCGGGTGCGAGACCGCCACATGTGTTTTTGTTCCTGCACCGCTTGTTCTTGGGAAATCGCACCGTGCTCAGACTTTTCTAGTCGCGCTCGTTTTGAGGCAAGTTGTGTGAGATCAGAGAAGCGGCGCCAATGATGTGAATGAGTGAGCGATCCAAGCGCCACCCCGAGCCAATCTTGGGCCCAGGATCGGTGCAACCGCTTTCCCAGCCTGGCCGGGGATGCGTATTCACGGCTCCTGGGACCAGGGCTGGCCTGGCCAGGACCAGCGCGGGTGGATGGCCGGCGTCTCGCGAGGGATGGGCTCCGACGCCGAAGCCGTCGCCGACGCCGACGACGGCGCCGTCGTCAGGGGCCGGTTCTGGCCGTCGCCGTGGCCGACGGCGACGGCGACGGTCAGAATTGGCCGCCCTCAGCCGCGGAGGAGGGTCGGCGCGGACGACAGGAGGCGGTTCGGGAAGGAGGGGCGTTCTGACCGCTGCCGCATGGTGCCGGTTTTGGCTCCGTCGCCGTCGGGCATTTCCCTCGACGCACGGCCGCTTGCAGCTACGAGAGGCGCTGGCAGAAAGCAGCTGCACGCAGCGGATTTGCCAGAGCACCCCTTTGCCCCAGACCCCAGACGCTGGTTTTTTTACAGCCTGGACCCCTCGAGGTCTGGGCCGCTTCCCCGGAACCCTTTTTTCATCCCGGGTATTCTTCGTTGGCGGCCCAAGTGCCCCGAGAAGTGGCACACATTCACACCGTGACATGTTTTCGCGGCGCCAGCGACGGGGCCTGGGCACTCCGCTATCCCCCTCCCTCGCTGTCCATCACACGAGTTGCGCGACGCCGCCGACGTCAGCGCTGCCGCCGCCGATGAGCGAACGATGGCGGCGCCGCTGACGAGCGAACGACGCCGCAGGGCTCGAGCCAGACGGTGCTTTGGCAATCTCTTGGACCGTTCTCGTTTCGATTTCGTTCTGTAGCAACTGTGGAACGAATACAGAACGAGGGATACAGTCGACCCGCATGGCAAGGATGAGCAATTTTCTAAGTATGCCCTTGCATCCTTCCGCTTCGGCCCATCCTTGGCCGCTTTCGCTGGCCGCGCCCCGCCCGCAGAGTGCCGACATGGCCTTCCACGGCCCTTGCATCCTTACCGCGCATCCTTATCATACGGGCTGACTGTGACGCAAACGAGCACGACACCGGAAGACTAAGACGCCGTGTAGCTCGAGCCCGGCGACGCCACCGACAGCGACCGCGACGGCGGCGACGGCCAGAGCGGCCCCCCCCCCCACGATGGGGGCAGGGCCGCCCCGCGGCCCCCGGGCGGCGGGCGCCCCGGCCACCCGGGCGCGTTGCGGACGCTGCGGGCGCGGGGCGCTCTCAGCGGAGGCCGCGCTCCACGGGGGGGTGGGCGGGGGCGGGCGCTCCCTCTGGCCTCCTCCCCTTCCCTCCCTCCTCCCTGCCCCCTCCCTCCTCGTGAAGGAGGAAGAGGTGCCCACACCGCCAGAGGAGGAAGAGGTACCATCACGCCGCTACCCGTCGGCCCTTCTCCCCAATTCGGGCCTCCTGGGAGGCCCTCGTCGCCACCGATGGATTCGCTTCGAAATTCTTGTCAGAACGCACCTGGGGAGACGTCCAGGGAGTAGTGGAATCGGTACCTGTTGGTTTCACCCTCCTCCTCCTCCTCCTCCTCCTCCTCTTCCACTTCCTCCTCCTCCTCCTCCTCATCCTCCTTCTCCTCCTCCTCCTCCTCCTCCTCCTCCCCCTCCTCCCTTCTCCTCCTCCTCCTCCTCTCCTCCTCCTCCTCCCCCTCCTCCTCCTCCTCCTCCTCCTCCTCCTCCTCCTCCTTCTCCTCGGTCGGTCGGTCGGAACCTAAGGGCTGTAAATATGAAGCCCAGTCTGAAAAGGTGGCGAGGAAAAGGGTGGGGCAGTCCAGCAACGAGAGAATTAAGAGGAGCACGCACTGTCCGCCTCTCCCAGATGGGAGCTGGAACATCCACACGTATCCCTAGCGACAACTAGGCAAGGAGAGGACACCGTCGTAGTTGCGTGGGAGAGCCACGCCGTGTCGGTGCCACACAAGCCTGACGGAACGATGGCGGACAAGGAAGAGACCAACGGCGACCACAGGGAATGTGGGATAAGGGGATGGGTGCACAAGCTTCCCCCCCCTACTGGTCTGCTGACGTTCGGGACACCAGTAATGTCACTTTCCAGAGTAGGCCAATGAGTAGCAAGCAACCTGAGCCTGCATCCTCCCTCCGCGGGGGGGGGGGGGCCAAGGAAGGTATAGACGCGCTGCTGATGCGAAAGGGGCATCAGGGGGTCAAGACTCCAACCCGACACGTGGCCGTTGAAAGAGGGGGGAGGGTGCAACCAAACCGCGGCAATCCCCCGAGCCCAAGCCTCATGCATGAGAGCACACATCCCCAGGTAAAACGCGTTGTCCTGTTGCACCAACTCCCAACGCTGCTCACTGAGAGTGTCAAGCCCCCAAGGCTGGACGGGGGATCGCAACATGGCCTTGGACCCTCTAAGGCGGTGAGGCCACATGGTCTGCAGGGAGGGGGCACAAATGGTGGCAGCGATCCTGCCTTGACGCATGGCTCTACACCAGAAATCGGCTTCGGACGTCCACGCGAGCCCCCTCAATTCAACCCTAATCAAGGGCATGTCACTACCCCGCCCTCCCTGCTCCCAAGCTTTCGCCAAGCCGCACAGGCAATCATCACCTTTAGCAATCACAAAAACAACTTTGTGAACGCAAGCGGGGACAGGGGGGACAACGAGCGGGGGAGGGGCCCAAACAGGGGCAGGGGCGGGAGCAGCAGGGGAAAGAACGGCCCTCGGGGGCGGGGGACCAAGCCATTTGAGGGCGACGGGGGGGCCAGGGACGCGAACGGGGGCCCTGCGAGCATAGTTATCAGGCATTCCTTTAGCCCGATGCTGTTGCTGGGACAGCTTGGCTTCAGCCCTGGCCTCACAGAGCTCCTGGGGGGTAGGGCGGGCAGGCCGGGCTAAGATGCTGAGAAAGCAGGCCTTAGCAGAGGAGAAGTGTTTCGCCAGCCTAGCGGGGCCCTCGAAGTCCCTCATACACACATTGCAAACAGAGCCCACAGCAAGATCGTAGGGAGTCTGACCATTTTTGTGCTTCTTAGACATGTGCACCCTCATGGTACGAGCACACTCCGCAACAAAGCCACACTCGTTACAGACAAAGGCAGGCACCCTGGGGGGGGGAGGAGGTGATTCCAGGGGGGTGCCCACACAGCAGTCACGAATATGTCTGGAGGCCAGAAGCACAAGATGGGCGGTGCTGGATCGTCGCTTGGCTCGCAATGTAGCCAGGCGAAGAAGCTGAATGTACCTGCGCGGTTGCTCGCGCGCGAGACGCACCCAGGTCGGGAGTGGGTCGACCTGATGGCACGGGCGCTCAGCGGGGGTGAGGAGAGAACAAGCCCACTTCACGCTGTCCCTAAGCACAGGCGGCCAACCGAAATCCTCAGCCATCTCGAAGTCCAAGAGCACACGGAGCAAGGGGGGGGGGAGTACAGAACCAGCCTCGGAAGGTATCTGAGCCTGCAGATGTGCCCAACTTCCGAGATGCAAATCCTGTCAGAGCGGGCCAAGATATCGGCATAGCCATGCTTCTGCTCCTCACCGTTATTTCTAAAGGGAAGTCCCTGAGCGCTGCGATAGATGGCCTCATGCGCCAGCCGAACTTTGTTCTCGAGGGCAACGGTGAGCCTAGGCCAGGTAGCCACAGCATAAAGGAGACGAGAAGCCCCCAGGGCTTCAGCGTACACGGTTTTGCGGCCCAGGGAAAGCGCGGCCCTGGGGGCCACGGCCTTACGGATGGGCCTGAGGGCTCCAAAAGTGGAGGTGCAGCGCAGGTGAACCTCGGGCCCCATCCCTCCATTGTCCTGAATCATAGCTCCGAGGCAGCGATGGGTGCGCACAACTTCTATCTCCATCTGGAACCGCCCCGACTTGAGAGTAGGAGTGGACATGCCGAAGTGCTCACCTCGAAGCTTCACTGACCCTTGTCCCCTAAAGCAAAGCATAGCTTTAGTCTTGCAAGCATTGGGGACCAGTCCCCTCTCAAAGCAAGCGCGAAAGACTTCCTCAGCCATGGTGAGGACAGAGGGAACGAGACGACTAGCTTTCTCCACGGCCAGAGCAGAGGTGAGATCATCAACATACGAGACAGAACAGTGGGGATAGTGGTGGTCGCCTGACAACGCAAACAGCAACGGGGCAGGGGGCGGGATCCACACAAGCTGTTCGTTGGCCAAAGACCTTTCCACATCCTTCTGAATGCCCGAAAAGACCACGTTAAAGTTATCCGAAGCGAGCACAGTCCCAGGGCGGGTGCCAGAGCCTGGCAAGGCAACCGAAGTAGCGTCGGGCACTTTCCAAAACGATCCCCTCTGCGAATCTTTGAGGAGGGCGAGGACCGCAGGGGCGTCCACCACACGATCCAAAGCTCCAGGCTCCTGAAGGGTGGCTTTGAGGCCCGTCAACAAAAGGGGGGGGATGGGGAGGTCGTCCAGGGTGTCCCGAAGCAGCTGTTCCTCCCCAGGCAACTGCAACGCAATCTGTTTCAAGGTAGTGTAGAAGGCCGAGTGCAGGTCCAGGAAGAGGAAACCCGTGCTTCGCTTACACTTATCCGCCACCGCCGAGAACTCACGCAGAAAGTGAATGGCATTCTCACAAGACCTGCCAGGGAGCCCACCACACTGAATCACAAGCATGCAACGCTCAAAATACCCCCACGCAAGCTCCCTGATGTGCCGATGGTAGAGCTTGCCAATGACGTTGGCTTTAAGGATGCTACGTTGATTCTCTTTGGCCGCAACCAAACCCTTACCTTTCCAAAAATACGCAACAAACCCCGCCTTGAATGAGAGCGGTTCCTTGTCAGCAATAGTGCTCTTGACCAGGAGGGGCAAAAGAAGCTGGGCAACCTCGGCGGGAGCCACCCTTCCAAGATCAGCCCTCACTCCATCAGGTCCAGGGGCCCTATGTGGTTGAGCCTTCCTGATCGCACGCTCGAGTTTATACCGCGAAACCAGAACATCCCCAGGGGTGACAAGCGGGTCAGGAGGCATCAGGCCTTCGACGCCAGGGGCGGGCCCTCTAGTGGCCTTAGTAAGAGGGGGGAGAGCATTGTAATGATCAACAATGGCATGGATGTCATGAAGCTTGGCATGCTCAACTCTGGCAAAATGCTGGTGCATACAATCCGCCACAGCCTCCTTGGACACCAGAGCCTCCCCATCGCTCCCCATCATGATGGGTTCCGTGCGGGGGCACTTCGCAGACCTACCCCCAAAGCGAAGCAAGGTGTCAAGATGCTGCCACTCGTGCAGTGGCTGTCTCCCGTCAATGGACACCTTGACGGACACCGCCTGTTGATCAAGGAAAGAGGTCTTATCTTGCTCAAGAAGGGCCCCCACCACCACCTGAGACTTAGTGAGGAAATCCACCAGCCCGCTAAGAAGCGTGAACACAGGCGTGTGGGGCAGGAAGGCTTCACACAAGCGAGTGCGCAGCGCGCACCAAAGCGCCCACCACCGAACAGGGGGATGGTTGACGACCTCACGATGAAGGTCGCCTCTAGTGCATCTGCCAGCCAGTCTGGTGATCACCGCCCGTTCAACAGGACCCTCCTGGCCTTGGCATTTGCGCAGAACTCTCTTAACCCCTCTGCGACACCTGACCAAGAGCAGCACCTGCGCACTGATGTACGACTTACGAGCCCTGATGGCGTCAACCTTGAACGCCTGACCAGCAGCACGGGTAATGGCCTTGGTGGCCCGAGTCGCGTGGGCATTGAGGGGGACACTCCAGTTGATAGCCGGGCAGGCCCGAAGCTTGTCTTTAAAAAGGGCGACAGCCTCGGGGTCACGAAACTTATTCCTGTCGAGGGGAGGGGCATCAGCACGCCTCGGCTTGGGGGTCCCCTGCCAACAAAGAGAAGCAAAGAGAGGCAGGTGGTCAGTCGTGGTAGCGAGGTCGTCGTGGGAGTGGTCGACTGAGACGTCAGAGGCCAGAGCAAGCATGTGATCAGACAAGATGATATAGTCATTACGATGTCTGCTACCATCTCTAGCCACGTACGTAAAATCCTCCTCCCCCCCTCGGAGGGTATTGAGCAGGTATCTGTCCGTTTCCGCACAAAAGCGGTCCAGGGAGTAGTGGAATCGGTACCTGTTGGTTTCACCCTCCTCCTCCTCCTCCTCCTCCTCCTCCTCTTCCACTTCCTCCTCCTCCTCCTCCTCATCCTCCTTCTCCTCCTCCTCCTCCTCCTCCTCCTCCCCTCCTCCTTCTCCTCCTCCTCCTCCTCCTCCTCCTCCCCTCCTCCTCCTCCTCCTCCTCCTCCTTCC